GGCTCTGGTGTATATGTGGATGTGCTCTTTCATTATGTAGCGGTAAACAGCTTCCAGTCCAACCTTGCACAAAATTCAAGAATGCGTCAGCTAACACAGTTATTCTGGATGACAGTGCTTTCTTTCATTCACGCACTGGTTTGCACAAATGCATCACGCTCCCAAGACCAGCTGGTATGTCTGTCAGTGACAAACTTCAGTTTGTGAAGTTGTGGAGATTTGCCTCCACATTCCACAGCGGAGAGCTTCAAAAGGAGGGACACAAAACACACAAATTCATGAGGAAGCATCACGTGCAAAAGCATTTTTACACTGACGCACCCAAATGTAGAGGTTCAGATTTCAGTCCATGCAGACATGAGCCGAAATGAGTTTGTTTTCATGATATTAAGTTACACCATTTCCCCCAAATGAACCTTTATGTGAAAAATGCTCAATGCTTACTTCATTTAAAGGGACTCTGTTTTACTTTTTAATTTTCTGTCATATATTTATAAAACTGCAATGATGGATGTTTAAACACAGACTCATTTTTTAAGTTTCTAAAAAAAAAAGGGGGGTCAGCACACGCACAAAAATTGTTGTTTCTACTCCTGGTTTTGTATATTGTAAAAAAAAGACACGGTTCCTAATATGGTCAACACATGCACACAGATCTGGCTGTGGGCACAGAAGCTCCACCCCCCCTGCTGTTTGTTCAAACCTGTTGTTTACAAAGGTCAAACATCATAACATGGCCACAGCTACACCGACTCACAATTAAATACAAGGTGCGGTACAGGTGCATCATAAATGGTATAAATTTATTGTAGCCCAAACAGAGCTGTACTTTAGACCTCATATGTGCCAGTGTGTGCCACGCTGTATATTTAAGTAAACTTTGCACAGTGTGACAAAACATTAGCTACATTTTTTATATCATTGAACAGTGAAGGGCACAAAGTAGGATCACATTAAATAACTGGAACAACATAGAAAATAATTTAACGAATGTCATGGTTTGTATATTGCAGCTGTGTGCAGTGTCTCTTTGATACCCTCAGGTAAAAACAATGGATACAACTGCGATATAACTCCTGCTGCTGCCTCCTCTGGGGTGATTTTCAGGCTTTGTGCCAACTTTCAACATGGCAGACGGAGCTTGATTTCAGGGTTACAGACAGAAAATCGAGGAGGAACAGAAAAAAGGAAACAATAAAACCCTGAAGTATGACGGTGCAGACCTGGGAGCACGGACAGTACGAAAGATGGACATGGAATCAAAAACAAAAACAAAAAAAACAAACAATTCTTGGCAATATTATAGAGTAAAATGTAAGTGAATGATATAAAGTCAAAGTTTTTTAAATTATTACAGAAAATATGCTTGCCAAAGACTGACTGTATACCAACCCACCAACATTTCATTTGACCAGATTCCATTAAATGTAACATTTTACATTGTACTTATTTAACAGAATTACATGGAAATATTTGCAAATTTTAAAGTAAGACTTATATTTTTTGAGTGTAGCTCAAAGTTTAAGTTTTTTGAAACCCATTTTGAAACCTTGAGCTGAGCATTTCTTTTGTTGCCATTTTAGTCTAAAATGGCAACAAAAGTGGTGGCCTTCAGATAGAATGCAGGCAGGCATTTTTTAGGCAGCTTTACTTTTCCAACCCGGAAACTACATCCGTATTTTAACCAGTGTCACAATTTCACAGAGACATGGAAACCAGAGACCATAAAAAGTAGACGATATCTGGCAACTTCAAGCAACTGCTGACGATGTGAAGTGGCGAGACACGAGTGACTGAAGCGACTACCAATGAGGGTAAAGAATACTGTTGATTGACCATACTGACCGTATGACCTGATCGTAAATGCTATGGGTTACCTCGGCAACAAAAAGATGACAATCACAAGATTATTTTATTTGTCTGTAAAGTTACAGCATTAAAAAGAACATGTAAAAAAGCAGCTTTGATAATATATCTGAGATGGAAAGTAGAATTTCAGTTAGTAAAGGAGCTCACTAAGTAAAACTCTAAAAAATACAATTAAAAGTAAAAGTAGAATTCAATAAAATCCTGTATAAAAAGCAGCCCTGTAAAATAAAATTATTCAAAAGCTCATCAGAATGTTTTCAGTGAGTTTGGATTCTTTAAATTCAATCCAACTTTTTTAAAAAAATGGTGTTACAGCTATAAAACCAACCACTTCCTCTTTGTTATTGTATTCGGCCTCTGCGTGTGTGTGTGTGTGTGTGTGTGTGTGCTGACGCCAGGATTTCAGGCACAGTGAGTTTCTCCTAGCAGGCAGAAGACTCACCACAGTTAAACGTGTGATGACGTGACCGGCAGACGAGTGTGTTATATTTTTCCCCACTCTGATCTATGACTAGTAAGTCACACATCCTCACGTAATGTTGCTTAAGTCAGCTCTGCTGTCTGCTTACATTTAAACGCAGTGAGCAACAACAGAGATGGGAAGATATTAATCCCATGATGACAGGTCACACACAGAGCATGTGATTGTGGAGGAGATGAAAACATGAAGCGTAGCTGCATGTGGTGGAAGAACCACATGCAGCTACGTGTTGTTGTTTGTTGAGGGGGAAAGGATTTGGGCGTTCAGTCTGGTTTTCATGTTTAAGCTGTGATTTTCAGAGGATTTGAGTACAGTTGTGTGCTGCGTGTGGTCCGGGGTTACATCCCTTTTTATGTCCAGCAGTTTTTTGTTTTACTTTGAGTTTCAGAAAACAGCAGGAAGTGAACCTGGATTTGAAAGTGACATGTGACTGTGTCGCTTTCCGAGAGCTGGTAGACTTGTGATAATCTTTTTACACAGGGAATGCACCCACCTCCAAAGCTTTTATAGTTTTTCTATAGCAATAGCTATAGCTCTTAACTCACGGCTTTCTTATTAGTTTTTACCAGTAAAAACAAAGATAAAAACATATCCTTAGACATTTGGATGCCCTCATCTGGCTTTTACAAGTTTACAGTTTTATATTACTGTGAAAGCTTTAACGTAGATATTTTCAGCCCTGCATAAAACCCCAGTGTAAAAAAGTAAATAAAAGTCATGAGGTTAGAGAAGTCAGATATTTCTAACAAGAGTTCATAGAGATCTAAGTGGAACCACTGGGATAGTAAAATGTGCACAGATTTTTGCATGAAGCACAACTTCTTCTTCTTGTTTTGACTTCTTCTTTTAGGTGTGAGCACATCAAATCACCTGCCTCAGCCTCACCATGTCTCTATCCTTAGCATCCTCCTCTTTCACACCAGCCTTCTGCGTGTCCTCCTTCACTCCATCCATAAATCTTCTCAGTGGTCTTCTGAGGTTTAGGATTTATGACTGTGTTCATAAACCATAATCTATAACAGAGGTAGGCAAATGCAGGCTTCATGGGCCGGTGTCCCTGCAGGTTTTAGATGTGTCCTTGATCCAACACACCTGATTCAAATGGCTAAATTACCTCCTCAACATGTCTTGAACCTCTCCAGAGGCCTGATAATGAACTAATAATCTGATTTAGGTGTGTTGACCCAGGGTGAGATCTAAAACCTGCAGGACACCAGCACTTGAGGCCTGGAGTTGCCCATCCCTGACCTATAAACATATAACTGATTGATAGCATAATTGTGTTTGCAGCTGAATCTAAGCTGGATTTAATTGGCCAAAACATCAGTAAAACGTGACAGAAAATAACACTGTCCATTGTTTGAACTGCATGTTGTTATGCCATTATCCATTTATTAAACAGTTAGTTTAAACACAGATTGTTATATGCATCGGTCAGCTGATTCAGCTTTACTAGAGAAAGGTAGTTTGGGGTGCTTTTAAACTTTTGAGTGAGTTATTGTTTTATCCAAACCTAATCAGAATGTTTGAATTTCTAATCTAATCACATGGCAGCAGCTCAGTTCATTTAGGCATGTAGACATGGTCAAGACGATGACGTTCAAACTGAGCATCAGAATGGGGGAAATAAGTGATTTAAGTGACTTTAAGCATGGCATAGTTTTTGGAGCCTGACGGGATGTTTGGAGTATTTCTGCTGATCTGCTGGGGTTTACAGAGTGAGGTCTGAATAACAGAAAATATCCAGTACGTGGTGGTTCTCTAGTGCAAAATGCATTTTCAATGTTCAGAGGAGAATGGCCAGACTGAGGTGGGAGGAACGCAACGGGAATTCGAATAACCACTAGTTGCAACGAAGTTACGCAGAACAGCACCTCTGAACATACAATGCATCAATCTTGAAACCGAGGCTACTATTCACATGGGTTCACCAAAACTGGACAACGGCTCACCTGAGTACTTGTCTGAGGACTGTTGCTGAGCATGTTCATCATTTTATGACCACAGTATATCCATCTTCTGATGGCTGCTTCCAGCAAGATAACACATCATGTCACAAAGCTCAAATAAACTCAAAGTGGATTCTTGAACATGATAGTGAGCTCACGGGACTCAGATTGCCTTCACAATCCAACAGAGCACCTTTGTGATATATGGTGGTGGAGATTTGCATTATGGATGCGCAGCCAACAAATAAGCGGCAACTCTGTGGTGCTGTTATGTCAACAAGGACCAAAATCTCAGCGATATGTTTTCAACACCTTGTTGAATTCATGCAACAAAGAAATATGGCGGTTCTTATAAGTGTATTAGTTATACTTGATAAAGTAGCCAGTCTATGGTATGGTGAGGCTATACAAACAGACATGTTACTAAGCTGGGACACTCTTATTAACTATTTAGATACTGTAATACAGTTAGCCGAAAAATTACAGAAAACTACACGAGCACTAAAACCCTCACGCACTCCATCCCTGCTACTGTGTGACGGACACGTGACTGGCGCAGAAACTCCAGTCAACGCTGCCCACCGTCACCCTTCGGGTCCTAAAATCTGGTCTGTGCCTTTAATGTGCCAGAAGGAGCTCGTGGATGGGTTTGTCCAATTAGTGTGTAGGTGGGGCGCAGGAGGAAACCGAGCGGAGACCTACAGAGCGCACACACTGACCCTTATCCCGGAGTTTCCGGACACGGAGAACAGTGCGTGGAGTTACCGCTCTGTCTGCAGTTAGCGGCAGCGAGTAGATTATAGACCGCTGGAAGTGTCCGATGGTGCTGCAGGAAAGTTTCCCCATGATTCAAGTGTCGATACCATCAATGGAGAAGGAGGCGGATGATTCGGGAAAGACTAAAAAGGTGAGGACGCGGCATTTTAGTGTTATCGGGTTTTTTGTTTTGGTTTTTTTTGCGCAAATCCAGCGGGATGAAATTACGACTGCGGTTTATCTGGACACAAGCACTTTTTTTCGCTTGATAATTAGTAAAACTTTGTCTTCCGGGGACGCCAGGTAAGCCGGGCTATCTGCAGGAAGAGGGACAGTGAGTTCAGCTCAGGTTTTTTTCCACTCCAGAGTGGCAAGAATTACGCAATTTTTCTTGCAACAACAAATACAATTATCCTTATTACTAAATGCGTTGCAAAAACGCAGCAGCAACTCACAGTAACTGTGGCCCTAGTTGCTGTGATTTTACACTGTAAAATGTACTTGAAGCCCAGCCGCTCTCACTTATAATGTGACTAGATGTAATTGTTGATGCATTAACCTGAGAACTACACTTTGAGGTTGAAGTTTGCTTAGCTGGTATTTATTTATTTATTTATTTATACAATCCTTCTGCAGATTATTCTTTAAATTTATCAGATCTTTATATTATTTGTGTGTGAAATTTAAACTGACGATCAACTCTTAGATATGCATGTACGACTTTAGTTATACTTCCTCTGCTGCAGGAACATCTTTAAGAAGGGGTCAGAGTCTCAAATACAATACAAATTTATTTATATAGCACATTTAAAAACCAACGGTATACCAAAGTGCTTCACAATAAAATAACAATATAAAACCATCATAGCACTTTTTAAAAGGGACCTATTCTACTCATTTCAGCTTTATCTTCTTTATTTTTCTGGATTCTACTAGAGTAACGTTGTATTCACTGTTCAAAATAATCCTTATTGGTATATTGGTCATATTCTAAATCCCTCAAAGCTAAATTCCCCAGACAGAGGATGACTCTGTCTGGACAAAAAAACAGTTTAAGCTGCTTTCTCTCTATTCAGCCAGCTTCATTGTGATTGGCTGCCTCTCACAAACAGAAGGTTTGAATGGCAGGTTATTGGAGCGCTGTGTGCCTGAAGCAGAAACGATGGCACCTTGTTTGTGCCCTGTTCATGCAGACTGAAGTTTCTTGGGTATGCAGCCTAAGCAGGCATGCTTGCATGCATTTCTCCAAACAAGTAACAGGGTGTTGTGTGAGGAGGCTGATGATGCAGTGTGTAAGCAGTTTACTGATTGGTTGAAAAGTGGGCTTGAAATATAGTGACAGTAGAGATCAACCGGAAGAGGAAGAACCGTGGAAAAAGATTGAAACACCAACTCAGACCGTGGTGGAAGCAGACACTTTTTTTTTTAAACACTTGGTTTCATTTCACTGCAAAGAAGCTTTTTGTTATGGTTTCTGTGCCATAAATGAAAGGATCAACAACATCTCAAACACAATCAAGAGTAGCCCACAGTCCCATTGTTCCCCATATTCGTGACACTCTGCCTGTCAAGCTCACATCACAGACTCAAAATTTGATGAAAAAGCCTGGAAAGATAATTGGCACGCTCCCTCCATCTCACAACAAGAGACATCTGAAGGGCCTGATAAAGGATATAGAATTGAATACATTATAATAGTCCTTTATTGTCATTGTACATGTACAACGAAATTATGGGTGTTCCACGCCAACTGTGCAGGAGTCAAAAAGTATAAATAGTAAAGACAGCAGAAAAAAATAGCAAACAGAAGAATGTATATATACAGCCAAGAGGAATATATACAAAACAAGAGAAAGGCGCACGTTGGAGAGCGAAGTGCAAAAGGACTTGGTCTAAGCACGTCACAAGTATGAAGAGGTTTATATCCTCAGAAAGAATATGCAGGGTACCAAACTGTAAGTCAGACCGGTATAAAGTTTGTTTAATGCCACTTTTAACCAAACTGCTTAATAGTAATATGTGTACTATAAATGTGTGTGAATGTATTAATCCTATGATGATGATTATTATTTCATATTTGACTAAAGCCTAATGCTATCTACACAGCTAAAACATGTAGTAGCACTGACTCAGGCTGGTCACTTGAGATGACCATATTAAGAATATCCTGTCTCTGTGACATCACACAGCTCATAGAGTAGAAGCTGAGCGTTTAGAGCCGTGTGAAGCCCGAACTTTTTTATGTTTTTCATTCAGTTTAGTTTCACTTGGTTTCCAGAGTGGTTTAGTTTTTATTAACCTCAGAGTTTTAGTTTTAGTCTCTCTTATTTTTATTATATTGCTATTGTATGCTGATATATATTAATGTTTACTACAATAAAACCAGAAGTTTTGAAAGCAGGTGATTCGCAGCCTTGTAGACCTTCAAAGTCTCATTAATCCACTGACAGCTCATTGGGTTGTGACAACAGATTTTTTTCAACTTACCAACCCTTAAATTTTCTTTTTTTTTTAAATTGTATTTTAATTAGTTTTCCATCTTCACTAAAATTGTTCTTGTTCCAATTCCCGGTGCTACAGTAAAATCACGGCTTACACACGTTAAATTCAGATTTCTTTGAAGCTATTTAACAATTTTTTTTTAAATTACAGGTAGTTATTTATAACGACGTTAGACTACTTCCATGTTAGAAAATAGCAAAAGACAGTCATACAAAGTAGTCATATATAAGATATGTACATGTTAGCATACTAACTCTATTTAAAAGTTGACTCATCATTGTGAAGGAAAGAAAAAGTGGATATATCAGAGTGAAATCAGAAGCTCTGTGCCTCCGACTAGTGGAGAAGTCATGTTCTTGTATTATGAACCAGTCTGTGACATACAAAAGAAAATGTCTTTATTTCAGTAAATGGGTAAAAGTGGAGCCCCACAATCGCCTGATTGTTGTTTCACTTCATTAGTAACATTTTGCTGGTACCAGGAGAGACCCTCTTTTGTTTTTGTTTTTTCATAAGTTGCAGGAAATTTCACATTAGTTGATTAAAAATTGTCATTCTGAATAGACTTTTGTAACTCAAGGATTCGTCTCACTCAGTTGTTCTTTTGTTTCTTAAACTTGAGTGTAAGTGAACTGCACTATAATAAAAATCATTTGTTAAAACATAACATACACGTTTGTTTTTTTTGTTTTTTTTTAAGACAATTGGCTTACATGCTTTTCTTAGTAAGGAAAAATAATTACAATTTTCAGTTGGACTCTCTTTTGCTTTCAGAGCAGACTCATATTTAAGAAGGTGCTGGAAACATTCTTCAGAGATTTTGCCTCATAAATGTAACAGCATCACGCTGTTGCCTCAAATTTGTTTGCTGTACATCCATGATGTAAATCTACTGTTACACTACATCCCAGAGGTGCCTGGTCTAAAATTTCCGTGCAGTAAACTCATTGTAATGTTCAGGAAACCAGATTAAGATGACGAACTTTGACTACTGCTAGCACCAAAGTCACCCTTTTCCCCAGTCTGATGCTCGGTTTGAACTTTAGCAGGTTCTGTCATGTTGCATTTTCCCTGCTCATCATTTTATTTTAGAGAAGCACAACACCTAAGCAACTTCTACCACTTAGTTCCCACCTTTTAGAAAGAACCAAATGCCTCAGTAGTGACTAAAGAATGAATCCTCTGTGTGTGTCCTGCTCTGTCTTATTTGCAGCTCTTCAGAATTGAAGTCTTGTTCAACGAGAGGAAACATTTTGTGCTGAGAAGAAACAGTGAATTTCAAAATCTCCACAGAAAAGTATGATCTTTGTTTTATGACCAGAGCTGCTTTCACTATGATAAGGATGTTAAATGGGACCCAGATCTGTCTGTTTGAAATGTTTGAGGCTTCTTGTGCTGCTACCACATACAGCTCAGGAAAATCGTCCAGACTCCAGATTTCCCGAGCAAAAGGAACCAACATCTGAGGACCAAACCTCTGGAGCAGAGGAGGCAAGAGCTGGAAGATTATGTCCAGGTAAGACATCTGAGGCTTGGATTACGAAGCGGGTTCAACATAACCAACGTATCTCTGCATTATCTGGATTCACTTACCCCAACAGTGGAAATCAGGTTATGCAGTCACTGAAAGCTGGTTATCAACTGGCCAAGTAAAACCAAAGCTTCCCCTGCACATTCATGTGAAAGAAGTGTGTTAGCACCATCTGATCGATCTAAAAAAAGGCATTTCAAAGATCAAATGACTCTTCTTTCTATGAGTGCTACCTACTCCAATCAGATGAAAATGAAACGGTGATTAAAGTAATTTAGTAAGTTTATTTATTTTCTGCTGTGTTTTACTTGCATCTATTTGAAAGAGCGAGTGTAAACACAAAAAATTATTTTATTTTATATGCTGGAATATGCAGAAAATAGGTTTAAATGTTCAACAAATTTCTTCCAGTCGGAGAATGTTGCATATAATTTAATTTGCTTCATGCAATGTGCATAGTGTTCAAATGTTAAAACTAATAAAACAAGTTTTAAAAAGAGACTTTTCCATTTGATTCAATGTTATATTGAATGTAAAATAGAAGAATAAAAGAATTGGGCTGAAAGGTCAGTTGCTTTATAACGTATTCAGGTTGCGTCTGTGAAGGTTTCCAGGTCATCGTCGTCAAAGAAGCCATCTATGTCCACTGTGAGCGACCATCTTTGAACAGAGGCGGTGGTTTACGACACCAACTGTCTGCCATCTATAATCCAGTTTTGAGTTCCCTCCCCAGACGCCTTAACGCCCACTCACATCCTGGGCCATCTGACCTCAGGAAATCGCATGATAAGGTGGGGCCAGGTTTCACAGTGAGCTCACCCAAAACCCTGGCTGATTGGGACCCACACCCATTTTCACACCTTGGCTCAGGTGATTAGGATCATCAGGGGGTCCTTTTGTCCCTCTGTGGGGGGATACTCCCACTGGGCTTATTTCTGGGACTCTCCACCATTTGACCTTAGAACTGAAGAAGCTTCTCGGATGAGAGGTGAAACGTCTTCAAGCAACTTAAAGAAGTCTAGACGCTTTCCTTTGCAAGCTCCTTTGACTTCAGGTTGTGTGTCATGTTTTTAAAAGTAAGTATTTTTGTAAGTAATCAGTAAAGTAATAGTACTACTTACTTGGAGAAGTAATCAGTAATTAGTAACTAATTACTATTTTCAAGTAACTTGACCAACACGGCTCCCAGGTGACAGCTGGTCAGTGTGAAACTGCAAAAACTGGTCTGTAAATGGAGCGATGTCAACATTATGTCCATGCAGAGTAGATGGTCTGACGATTTCTTACAAAGTGAGAACTAGATCAGATTATTTATTATTTATGTTCTAAATGAAATTCTTTCTGATTTGTTGGATAGTGAAGCTAACCTTTCTGGACCAGCACAACAATTGCCCATCTGTTCCTGCTGTTAGCATCATAAAAATGTGACTGATTAAGTGTGAAGACAAACAGCTCAGTAGGATGAGAAACAGGCTTCAAAGTGTTGATGTGTGCTTTCCTCTCTTTGGAACGTGTTGTTTATCTCAATTTATTCTAATATTGATACAGTAGTAGTAGAAAACTATCCTTGAACCCAAACTTTCTCTTACTAGAAAGTGTTAAAAAGAACGAACAACTTCACTTGTTCCCCAGTGTGCATATTAAACAAATATGTAGAACTGCTTTCGTGTATTTGCACAATATCTCTAAAATTAGAAACATCCTGTCTCAGAGTGATGCTGGATAAACTACTTCATGTATTTATTACTTCTAGGCTTGTAATTTGTAATTTCTTGTAATTTGTTATTATCACGATGTCCTAAAAACTCCCTGAAAAGGCTTCAGCTGATTCAAAACGCTGTAGCGAGAGTACTGACAGGGACTAGAAAGAGAGAGCATATTGGCTTCTGTTCATCTGTTCATTAAATGCAGAACCAAATGTAAAATTGTGCTCCTTGAACTGTATAGAATTGAACTTTTGAACTATTATTCAACCGTGACTAGATTTAGATAAAACCCCATCAGCTGACACTTACTTGGCATCAAAGAAATTTGCAAGGACCTCACTGAGTAACGCACAAAACTTTAGTTCAATGGATCTGTGATTCTCATTTTGTAACTCCAAATGTTTATATTTGTGTACTCTAATGGTTTAGTTTTGCATTATTCACAGAAAAAACTGCTTGAAACTGAAAATTTAGAACAGTTTGAATTCAGAGATTTCGGCTACACTGACCTTGACTTGAAACTTTGAATTTAATAAACACTTTTCAGGTTTGAGGAAGTGTTTTCCTGTTACGGGCTCCGGGGTAAATGTTATGTATATTTCTGCTAATGAAAGATCACACTTTATAATATTATGTGGTTATACTACTGTCTAAAGGTGTTTTTTTCCCTTTCTTGTAGATGTTTTGCCCTTAAAAAAACTGTTAAAGAAAACATCTTTTTTTCATCTTTTTTTTCACCAGGATGTCATCTACCAGAATGAAGATGTGCCGCAGGTGCTGCTGGACTTCCTCCACGTTAGACATTTCCACACGGGGAACAAGAGCAGCATGGAGTAAGTCCTTCAGTCTGGAGAAGCCGGACATTTTGCTATATTTAGCGCCTCTATTAATGGTTATGGGGGGCAATGTGACAACATAATAAATCTTCAGACACGGCGATCTGGAGCAGTAGCAACCCTGACTCTACCCCACAGTGCATTTAATGAGGCTCTGTTAAGTCCCCGCTGCTCTTACAGAACACACACAGCATGTGTAGGGTACAACTAATTATAAAGACTAGTGTGCTATATGTAGGCACACTAGTCTTTATTAGTTGTGTCTCTTTAAATTATACTGTAAATTTAATAAATCCTTAAAAACATGGACTGTATATAAAAGATGGAACCAGCCACCATTCTTTTACCTGTTGACTTTGGGAATCTGAAGCAAGTGACAAAAGCTGCAGTCCCTCGAGTGGCTCATTTTAAAAGTCGTCCATCCCTGCAAACTCCATCGTATAAAATGGCCAACTATGCAGCATCACAAAGCATTTCATTTTGAAATTTTTGGCTGTATTTAGTAATTATCTGCTCTGATTTCAGATCGCTTGATGAACTTGACAGCCAAGATGACAGGTGGGAGTATTACTGGTATTTCCTGTTTCTCAGTATTTGTGCAGTGTTTCATACGAATGATGACAGCTAAGTTCCAACTCACACTCATTGCATGAAATTAATCGATTATGTTTTGCTTTTGCTTACTCAGTTATCAGTTTACCAATCAGCGAGTGCTGGGATTCTTTCAGGATCCTTATCTCACCGACAGCACTTCAGGTAGGATGAACGCACGGCATAGAGAAATGAGTTTTGTTGTTTGGTGCTTTACTGCAGATATGGGAAGTTTCTTTAAAGCAAAGTTTGTCTTGCAGGTCTTCCAGATGTGGTTGTAGATGGGGTTCTTCAGGGTTTTTACCCCCGGGACATCCGGGTCAGCTTCAATGCCCCTACAATCGCTGAACCTGAGCCCACCCTTCCCACATCTGACCCCACCCAGAAGCCTAATGTTCTAACTTAAAGTGCGCGATAGCTAAAAACACATGATTTTCAAAAATAGTTTTTTTAAGAAAACCATCAGCACAACAAGACGAAGCAAAAGAAGAGTTTCTGTATGGTTGACCCTGTGGGACTGAAACCCGTCACCCAGACTTTGTTGCTGCACTGCTCCACCCATTGTTACTACAGCACAGACACGGTGCATGGTTTATTTCTCTTTTAGTGTCTTCTGAAATCCAACTCGCATTGTGGCAGATTTGAGAAGTAGGTCAGATGACTGGTGGGAAAAATAACAGAGCATAAATGGCGGAAGTTGATGGAATTTTAGGGGAAAGAAAATCATGGCAGACTAAATGTGCCATTATCGGTGGATTTCATGCTGTCGCCACAGGGATCTACGTTTTAGAGTAGAAATGCTGAAACTATGTTCCGGATTGGGCACCGTCAGTGGAAAAGATGTATTTAACGTTCTCGTATTTAAACCAAGTAACACAATATCTCATTGAGCCGTTTTAATTTTTTTACACTGTGAACATGACTGACTGCATCGGGCAGTATGGTGTCGTTCATACTGACTGATTCAAACCACAGCCTCAATTCTCGTATAATTCGCTGTGTCTAAGCAAGTGGGAAGTTATTTTAAAACAAAGGGCTAGATTCAAAGTTTAATGAAATATTTTAGGAAAACACTTTACACATTTTAGGATATGCTTGTAACCGTTTAACCTGTAGAGTCATAACCAGGAGTAGCACAGAGCTAGTGCATACAATGTCTAATATCCTGACTGTAATATATTTTAAATATGAGGTTACATTTTTAAAGCCATATTTGTTCAGTCAAATGTTTGACATGTGTGACTTTTGTACCATGTTTATAGTAAATTTGTAATAAAGAATCGAACTGGTCCCATGTGAATTTTCTTTATGAACACGTAGAACAAGAAAATGCACTTTCTTTTGATGGAGCAGCTGAAGGCAGGGGGAGGATTATCGTGTAGACACTTAGAAGGGTCTTCATTGATATAGTAATACACATGGACTAGCTTATCTGCACATGGACTAGCTTATCTGCACATGGACTAGCTTATCTGCTAGCTTATCTGCTCTGTTTATGCAGAGAACTGCTTTGCTCCTGCTCTTCTCAAAGTGCAGTTTTTATTTTTCTGCACAGCTGCCACACCCACTTTGCTTGGAGTAAGAAGTAGGAAGTAACAATCTGAGAATTATTGTGTAGACACTTTCTATCTTTAGGTTGGAAATGTATCCGTTTACAATCATGAACCAGTTCCCCCTGTGGATACGGAGATAGGATTACTGGACTGACAACAAATGCTTTCAGACTTTGTTATTGGTCCCCCAAATACTACAGTGGCTATAACTAGGCACTAATAACAGTTTTCTGAAACTGAAGCTTAAGACGGTACCAATCTTCTCCACACTGAACTACTGCGTTAAACAGGTATTACCGGATCCACTCTATTCCATCTGCAGCTGATGCACAACACTGTTGCACGGGTCTTCATTGATATAGTAATAGACATGGACTAGCTTATCTGCTCTGTTTATGCAGAGAACTGCTTTGCTCCTGCTCTTCTCACAGGTACCTTCTATGTCAAGGCTGGTGAGTAAGGGAGACCATGTTTTCCCCTCTATCAACATTTGAAAAGAAAATCTTAAATCCACCTAAGGTGTGTTAAGAATATAAAGGATTAGTTTGTGTTTCTGGTCTCTAGGTTCCCTTATCTTTAACTCATATTTATTTCATATTTTGGCCCCAAGCATCTGAAGCTGCACTTTGGTGTCTTTGGTCATTTATTGTTTCTGGCAGCACTCTGTTCTAGAAACTCTCTGATATGTTCAGCCTAATCTTTATGGTAGCCTGGTTTGGGTTCAAGTGTTTTGATTAAAAACAATATTGATATCCACAAAGGCTTTGAAATAATTTGAATACCCAATCTAATGCACTTTTTAAAAATATATAAATTAGTGATTGAGTGTGGCAAATACAGTAAAAAAAAGTGGTGTCTTTATTTTTCTGCACAGCTGCCACACTTACTTTGCTTGGAGTAAGAAGTAGGAAGTAACAACAAGCAGTTCAGGCAGGACTTGTGCTTAGTTGTAAAGATGTTATGTGGCTGGGGTTTTGAGTGGCTTACTATTTTGTTTAGTTTTTTCAGAACCAGGTCAAACATTTTCACTCTGAGTAAAAGAAACAAACCAATCAAGTCAGAAGAGTATGCTTTCTTTGGGCTTTATGGGAAGTATGACCTTACAACCCAAAACTTATACAATGCACAGATATCAGTGAGCTAAACTCAGCAAGTTTGGGACTGAGCACCTCTCTCTGCAACTGGATACTAGATTTCCTGTCAGAGAGGCCTCAGTCCGTCCGAATCGGCGACAACATCTCCAGCACCATCAGGCTGAGCTCAGGAGCTCCTCAGGGCTGTGTTCTCGGCCCGCTGTTGTTCACTCTCCTGACACACGACTGCACCGCCCTACACAGCTCTAACCACATCATCAAGTTCGCTGACAACACAACCGTGGTTGGACTCATCAGCAGCAACGACGAGTCGGCATACAGAGATGAGGTTCAGCAGCTGGCGTACTGGTGCAGTGAGAACAACCTGTCACTGAATGTGGACAAAACCAAGGAGGTGATTGTCGACTTCAGGAAGACTCGCTCCACCCACACACCACTCAGCATCCGCGGTTCCATTGTAGAGACTGTTAACAGCATCAAGTTCCTGGGAGTTCACATCAGACGACCTCACCTCACCAACACCACCTATGGAGACCAGGAGTATGTCTGTGTGGCAATAAATTAAAAATAAACACAAACTATGGAAGTTAGAGGTTGTACAATATTCATCTAAAGGAAAACATCACACACAATTCATTTAAATGTAGCAAACAATAAGCATAAATGTGGAAAGTTATATTCTTTAAATTCCTCTTATTTTTTTCTTGAGTTGTCTCAGACTCGGTCACATGTTTTGTAAATGGATTACTGATTAAATGACAAAAAGGATTTAACAATAAATAATGCTTTCTGTCATTTGGGATTTTTAAAGCAGTCTTTAAAGATAATGACATGATAAGGAGTGTCTTTCACTAATGCTTGTGGTCTTGGTTGTGGCTCAGGGCCTTGGCTATTACAGTTAAGTGACATTAGTTAACTGAGATAAAAGTAAAAACTGCAATTAAAATTACATTTTTTTTTAACTGGTTCCAGTCACTTGGGATTATAAACTAAACCGAGTTTGACGGTTTGAGCTGGAATAACCATCTTGTATTGATGAGTAAAATTTAACCCTCTTAAGTAGAAACGTTTTTTCCCCTGTTGTTCCCATTTTAACAACAGCACCTCAATGCAGCGTGGAGTAGCGCATGCGCGTTACGGTAGACGGAAGCCGCTGCTGGCGGTCTGCTGTCTTTTCCCCACTCCGTGCTCTTTAAATGACTTGTACCGACTTCTTCAGCTGCCGCTCCCTCTATACACCGGTAGTTTTCCGGTGTCTGGACCTACTTTGTGTGACTTACCAGGAAGCTGGATCTTCTTCGTGACTGACAGACTTTGAATCCCTTTAAAGCAGATTTTCGGTACGTGCCGCTGACAACTTACAGTGAAGCTTTGGCTACTTCGTTTGTAACAAGAGCTGTTTGTTAAACTGATCCGACTGTACTGCAAGTGTTTGGCTGCGAGCCTCCTTTCTAAATGAGATCTCCGAATAACCCCGACTAGCTAAAGCTACTTGCTACATGCAGATTATCTTTGCTAAACTGTGAGCAAATATACAGCCTGAGGGCTGCTAGCGTGTTAGCTAACACATTCTGTGTGTCCACGTTTGCACTAAGTTAACCCAGCATACTATGCATTAATGTGCACAGTATATCTGCAGCTTAGAGGGCAATGGGCTCCCTGTGCATACCAGAGCAACTCTTGGTATTATTAGCACGAAACACGGAGATCATATTTTAAACCTGCAGTTTCATCTTGGTGTCAATCTGGATCTTATCAGTTGAGATAATCTGAATCAGAAAGTGTGAATTGTATTAGGTTAAAAAAGAAAATAAAAATTAAGAGGCTGGGGGACGGAAGGGGGTCATTGTATAGTAGTATAGTATAGTTCATTATACATAAATCAATTTACGAATCATAACTGGATGAAAGAAATGTCCACAAACAAATGTGGAAATTTACAATAAACAAACTTGCAGATTTAAAAGTTAAAAAGTGGCAAATTCGTGCGAAACAGAAATGTACCTTTATCTTTGAGCCTTAGCAAAATGCAAATCGATGTTATATTTAAAAAAAATAAACATCTAATGTTGATTTAATTGAAGGACACTATCCATAGAGGTAAGGTTGTGGGTGTGTTTGTTTGTTTGTTTCTCCTGTGCCAGGCTGTAAACATATTTATTTTGGTGTTAAACTTGATGTTTTAGTAGAGGACTGATTCCTCAAGTGGCCATTGGAGGGACTGCAGCTTTTGGAGCCCCTGGCTTAATTCCAATTGTGATACAAGACATTTAGAGGAATTTAGATTTTTATGGTGATTTTCTTTACATTTTTTAAAATTAAAAATCATTAAAATAGCTGCTCTTTGGGTTTTTTTTTTTTGTCAATCCATTAATAGATGACACCAAATAGTTTTAGTTAAGAAACCTGCAAGATTAAGAAAATGTTACAGCTTGTATAAATATATGGAACACCTCCTCCATGACTGGATGAGTTTTGAATACCAATGGTTAATATTAAAGCGAGAGTGTCCGACTTCCTTTGTCTCAGGAGTGTGTGGGAGAGCATCATGTGGAGGAAGGCTTTGGTAGCGGCCCTGCTGGCACTAGCCGTTGGCTATTTCTACGGCAGCCCGGAGCTGCCGGAGCAGATCCTGCAGTACATCAGCCTGCCAAACTTCCAGACTTTATCTCAAAACCTGAACAGTCAGGACAGCTTGGAGCGGGTGATCTCCAGCGCCTGGGAGGCTCTGATAACTCTACCAACCCGGCAGTGGAGCAGAGTGGCAGTGGGGTGAGTCACAGAGTTGAACAGTAACAGAGGTCTTTGTAAGAAATAGATTTGCGCATTTACTCAGGCGTGTCACCTGAAGGTGCTGTGCTGTGCACATGGAGAGGCTGTAGTCTGCTCTGCCAGTGTGAAGGAATGTGTTGTCATGAGTCAGAGCTGAGGAGAAGGAGGTGTCTAAGAGAATTAAGTCATTTGCAACCTGTAGCCTGCTTTGGAATGGCCAATGAACGCAACCAGATAATCACATGGCAAAAGATGATTGGCTGAAGCTGAAGGACGGCCCACTGGAGGGATGGAACACCCCCACTTTTTTTCTTTCTTTTTTTTCTTTTTTTTTTTTAAAGAGGGAGAAGTGAAACAATACACCGGAAGTCCCATTGAAATAGTAGGATAGTTGCATCCAGGACTGCTGTGACAACATGAGTGGTAAAACCAATTCAGCTTATCTGGATGTCCACTGATGATTCTCAAATACAATTTTCTTGATTTTGCATTTTATAATTTTTGCCAGCATTGAGCGTTCTCATTACTGTTGCAAGCCATGATTTCAATTAATTGCAGAACACTAATAGTGTTTTGTCTCCACCAATCAGGAAAAGTCAAACAAAATACCAAAAAAGATTTGTGATTGCTCTTAAATAAACAGTTGAGCTGTTTGGTATCCACTCGCACGTTATTCACCTGTGTTAGTAGATTAGAATATGCAGGTTTCAAATTCCCTTACTTTTACTCTTATCATAAAGAATACAACATTTACTGTGACCCACAGGCTACGTGGGATATGACAATTTTCCATAAGTTTTTAAGAGGACAAGGCTTAAAGAAATTAGTAAACATTCAAAAACATCAACACACCCATTGGTGTAATTCTGCCCTCTGTTGGTGTGTTAGTTAAATGTGATAGGGGAACTACAAAAAGTACCTTTAAAGCAAGTTTTCCTTGCATCTGTACAAAACCCTGATGTTTTTACTGAAGGAATTGTTACTTGTTTTGTGACACTGGTGGATTTGCCTCCTTTTTAACATCACCAGTTTGGTCATTTTGTCTGATTTACCCGTGAAATAACCCGTAGTCTGTACTTGCCTCTCTAAGGGTAAATGCCTGCGTGGACGTGGTGGTCTCAGGAGTTTCACTCCTGCAGGCTCTGGCTGTGGATCCTGGCATCGGCCAGGATCACGAAGTGCTGCACTCCAAAGAGGACTTGAAGGAAGCTTTCATCCATTACATGGGGCGTGGAGCGGCCGCTGAGCGCTTCTTCAGTGACAGGGAGGCTTTTCAGAGGATTGCTCGTGCAGCAGCAGAGTACCCCAATGCAAAGGCAAGAGGGCTGCTTTACTCCTCAGGCAGCTGTTTCCTTTATTTCTTTTAATGTTTTTTAAAATAAATACTTCCTTCTCAAAAAATCTTTGCATCATCTTCCAGTTCTACGTGGGAGGAAATGCTGCCCTGATTGCTCAGAAGCTTGCGACATACCCTGATCTGATGGTAGACCAGCAGTTTGATATTTCTGTCTTAAACACGTACACAACATTTCATTTATTTAGAAGCATTAGCTTTTTGCTGTGGTAGCCCCCCAAACACGCTATAACACTGTAATTCTGGATATTAGAGCATCTCTGTCACAGATCCAGGAATTTATTCTAAGCAAGTGGCACAAAAATAAGTAAATGGTAGCCAGGCTGGGGAAGTTTAGAGTATCTGGATGAAGAGCTTATAAATATTGTTTTATGTAACAGGTTTTGCTTTGTGGTCCAGTTGGTCCTAAACTTCACGAGATGTTGGATGAGCAGATAATTGTTCCCCCAGATTCCCTCCAGGAGACGGATGAGTTTCACCTCATCCTGGAGTATAAAGCAGGTAAAGAAGAAGACGCTGCAGCCCGGGCAAGATTTCTTCCCTCACTTCAGCCTGGATGAGTAATATCACAATTGTGTGTATGTGCTCCTCTTCTCTGTCTCCAGGTGAGAAATGGGGTTCAACTCAGGCACCTCAAGCCAACCGCTTCATCTTTTCTCACGACATGTCCAACGGGAAGATGAGCTCACTGGAGACTTTTGTGGCGAGCCTGGAAGAGTTCCAGCCCGAGCTTGTCGTCTTGTCTGGGCTCCACATGATGGACGGTCAGGGCCGAGAGCTGTGGGAGGAGCGGCTGAAAGAGGTCAGCTGGCTTTAAGCTCATCTTCTGCTTTCATGTTTAGTTTATTAAACTTTAATCTTCATTATTGTTTGTGGTTACGCAGTTCAGTTTTATTGGTATAACGCAGATTCGGACCCTGCAATAGTACAGACACAGCAGTATATTCAGCAGGCAAGAAGTGTATGTTTTTATTTATTGATTGAATTTATTTAATGTAAAAAGTGCCTCTCTTCGTTCATACGTACACACACACACACACACACACACAGCCTTGCACCCACTTCTTACACAAATCTATTTCAGTTCTGTTTGATGCACTGTTATAACGAGGGGATAGAAGATGCTTTGTATCAATTATTCATCAGTTTATCTGCATGTTCATGACTAAAATAATCTGAGTTCATCTGCCAAGGGGGTTATGATTTTGGCAGCATTTGTGTGCGTGCTTGCCATTCCGTCTGTAAACACAATAGCTGGAAAAGTTTTGAATGAATCTGTGTGTGAATATGTGTCGCCATATAGACAGTAAAGATTTAAAATATAAATGTCATATTTGACCTCTGACCTTTCCTTTAAGATCAACAGATTGATCTGAAGATCCAAATGATAATATTGCTATACAGATCTATTTAAAACTATGTTTCTCTCTGCTGGTGTGTGTAGTGACACCATGTAGGCATATAGGGAATGATATATGTGGATTCTAAGTGTCATGTTACAGTTTGGATCCAAATAAGTGTAAGAACGTTCCCTTAGACGTAAACACCGGCCTGAGACTGAGCTGCCTTGACGAAGGTTTATGCTATATAATTCTGGGATCTTTGCTTCCTGTCTGCAGGCTGTCTCGGCCATATCTGACATCCGTAGAGACATTCCCATCCACCTGGAGTTGGCGAGCATGACCGACAAAGACTACATGAACAGCATAATGCAGGAGGTACATGTGGAGTGCAGCTGTGGCTCTGAGTTTTGACAAAATCTCTTCCAGCAAAGATTCATGTGCTTAGTGTCTTCACATCCCCGTGGAGTTCTGTATATTTAAAGTTTGTTTGTTTGTTTTTTTTCCTGATTCCTGTTAGCAGGTTATGCCCATTGTCAGCTCCATTGGGTTGAACGAGCAGGAGCTGCTCTTCCTCTCTCAGGCCGGAGAGGGACCTCATGCAGAAACGGTGGCCTGGAAAGGCATCCCGGATGTGGGTCGGGTCAGCGACATCCTCCTGTGGATCCTGGAGCAGCACGGCCGCAGTGAGCCATCGTCAGAAGCCGATCTCACTCGGATCCACTTCCACACGCTGGCCTACCACATTCTGGTTACAGTAGACGGATACTGGGGGAACCAGGTGGCGGCGGTGATGGCCGGAGCGCGGGTGGCCAGCAATCAGGCCTGTGGCCTCCAGTCTGTCGACGTCAGCAAGGTGGAGCTCAAAGCCCCTCTGGAGTTTTATAGCTCCCACATGGAGCCCCGGGAGCAGCTGTCCCTGAACCCAGCAGAGCCCGTTACAGTGTGGCACCGCGGAAACGTCACATTTTACTTCACGCCGGTGCTGGTCTGCAAGCGCCCGCTTCGGACAGTTGGGCTCGGGGATGCCATCTCAGCAGAGGGACTGCTTTACTCAGAGTTACTTCCCCAGCAGCCTTTCTGAGGTTTGCTTCCAGCGGACTGTCAGCATGGCAGACGGTGAGAGGAGCTTAAAAGAACCGGAGAGGTCTCAACTCCTACCGTGGTCAGCGGGATGGAGTTGCCAGATCTCCGGTTTTAAATCCAGCCCGTGGACTCATCCAGCCTGCCCTGATCCTCTCTGTTGTCCCTCCTTCATTTTGCTCGGGCTGACACAGAAACTGCGAGGTGGCCTGAGGCTTGAGGCTATGCACTGGATGCAGTTCGAAAGCCATCTTCGCAAACTCCAAAGAGTTTTGTCGGCTCAGCAAAACTTCCTTCTGACCTGCATATCTTCAGTATGCTGTGCCTTGAGAAAATACACGAGAAGTTATTGTTAAATATTTTATCCATATTATAGAGCTGAACAAACAAAATGACCTTGAAGCTGTGACACGAACAGCTGAAACTGGAAACGGATGCACATGTGACCATGTGGTAGAGTTAAGCGATAGATTTGCTTCTTCAACTTTGGGTGCATAGAGCTTAGTCAATAGAACAGCTTTAAAGGTTTATTCTGTCATGTTTATCAAGCATTACTCAGTGTCTGACTTATTTACACGTAAGAACTGTTATCTATGTTATCTAGGCATACTTGACTTTAACTTTATATTATTTCTTAGCATAGAGAAAACACTAGACTGTGACAACTTGTGTTTTGTTTGTTTGTTTGTTTTTCTAGTGTTTGACCAAAACACTCTGGCATACAATGACATTTTAAGCTTGAAACCTCCACAGCACCATCCTTATTTTTTTAATAATGAATAAGAAAGTCTCATATGGCGACTTGAAATATGCTTCTGAAGCGGGTCCTTCTTTATGCAGTAAAGCTCTGTTTACAGTGAGATACCAGCTATTTAACTTAAAATGGACCTGTTATTGCTTATCCTTCATCTGTCCCGTGTATACTGTTAATAAGGGTTGATGCTCATATTAAACCGGGCCGAAATTGCAAAAATTATGACGTCCCACGTTCAGGTAATCCCTGTAAGATAAAAGCTGAACTTGGGCTGCATTAAACACCTGGTTTTGGATGTTTGTTTGTTTTTTCTTTTTTCTTTCTTGGCTCTATCTGATGTCACTGAGGGCTTAGACCTGCAGTTTAAACCTTCTATTTGCCAGGGGCAGTCAATCCAAAAGGCGCTTGTTTCAGACTGTAATTACCACAGTAGCTCCTCATTAGAGATAAAACAAGTAAAAGTCAGAGTTACTGCAGTTTTCTTCCTGTTTCAGTCATACAGCCTCTAATCATGTCACACCATCGGCTTGAATCAGTGAAAGCTGGCCAGTATGACTCCTCTGCTTACAGCCCTAGCATATAAGGAAATTCTTCTTCATGGGTTCTTTGTTGTTACTGGTTTCTGTATCACTTACAGTATGTAAAATAATGTGTTTTGTATACCTCAGACGGCCACTAAAGGCACGCAATAATAATGGAGTCTTAATGCAACTCTATGACACAGACGAGGGTGACATTTTCGTTTAGCAGGACCTTTTCTTTGCACTAGCGGAGGTGGCAGGTTTGCCGAGAAGGTGAATGTAAGCTGAATTCTCAAAACTCCTGCTTTTTTTTTCTTTCTCTCTTTCTTTTTTTGAGCAAGTACAATCTGTTCAACTTCACATACTTCATATTACGTCTTGCATGTTTTTAACATTTGTAACTGTCATTTGCATTTGTCATTAAAATGTATGTGGAGAGAGAGAAGTGTGTGTCGTGCGACTGGTGATGCAGAATATTACGTGTATTTGTGTGGGCTGTAAGAGATAATGAGTCCTGATAGGCAGAATTTTAAGATGTTTTTTTTCCCTTTATTTCTTAATGGGTTTGTTTTATTTGTTTCTCATCATTTACCTGCTAAAATAAAATCAATTGAAAATCAATAGATGAATTTACAGTGGAACATTTATGTCTTAAAATGGAAATTAGATGCTGTTGTGAGGTAATTTGCATTTGTGGTTCAATAAATGTGTAAAGGGTCCAGAAACACGGTGTAGATGGATCAGTGCTGTGTTAGGTGGTGAATAAATAAATCTGAGTCTCCTCTGTACTTGAACTGCATGATTTGATTCCCATTCTGGTGTTATGTGATATGAAATTTTCTATAGTCTAAGGAGCTTGGAAAGAAAGGGGTTGGACTTCTTCAAGCCACACTAGTATGATTTTTTTTGTTAGTTTTCCAGCATTTTGCATAGCTTTCTGGTCATTTTATTCATTTATTGGTGCTTTTCCATTAGTTTGTAGATATTCTCTCTTGTTTTGCTTCTCACTTTAGTTGCATGTGCATGCTTTGTCTTTTCGTGGTAGTTTTATATTTTTTTGTTGCGTCTCTTCTGTATTTGTGATTGTTTTCTGTCTTGTTGATCACTTTTCTGTCTCTTTGTGGCCTTTAGGATATCATTTAGGTTGTTTTGTGTTACACTTTTGGGTGAATAGTGCTGTCCCCTCACAGTAAGAAGGTCCTGGGTTTGAATCTAGTCCAACCTTATATTTTTTTTCCTTCCTCTTCCTTAGTATTAGTGTAACAAGGCCAGACTCATTGAGACCCTGGTTGGCTGTCTCAGTAGTCTACAGTATCAGTGGTTTGTGTGCCTAAAGACCACCACAAAGCAAAATACATTTTTAAGGCAACTTGTATTTTTATCTGCAGGTATAAAAACCTTGTTTATGATGAATGATATCGGTAACAATGGGAGCCTGGCAGAAACTAGTCTGTGTAAGGACAAGAAAACTCACCGTCCATACGTTTCTTAGGGAAACATTTCTTTTCCATTGTTAGGAATAGTTGAACACTCAAAAAAGAAAAAAATAAATGTTACGCGTCTACATTTGATTGGCTTATCCTGTAAGTGATCCAATCAAAGCTCCGTGCGTCTCTGCGCAGGGTTGAAACCCCGCCCCTGTGTGGTCGAGCCGGCCTGTAGCCTTTGGAGAGGGCGCCTCCACAGTCTCCACCTCCGGATACCACACTCACTCCTTCCCCCCGGCCCTTTATAAACGTAGCAGCGCTAACAGGCCGTTCCCGGGCTGTTAATTTTTTTTCTCGTTGATGGTTAGACTCTGTGAGAGAAAGATGAAGTTCCTCATAGCTGTTACAGTTATTGTGGGATCCCTGATTTTTCTCGCTTTCCCGAATGGCTCGGCTGCTGACGAGAAGAAGAAAGGCCCCAAAGTAACAGCGAAGGTGGGTGTTAGCTTGTTAGCAGAAATCTTTGCTCTTATTTCTCGCTGTCCGCTGATGCTAACGGGAAGCTGCAGCTTGTAAAGCCACGTCACAACCAAGCTGGCCTGCAGGACGCCGTCTGCTTGACTAAGCTAGCAGACGTTTAAGTTTTTCCGATATCAGCTGTGATTGCATTTATAGAGCACTCCGTGAGGTCAGGACTAAACTGACGCTGATGGACTAATATCCCAGAGCTAGCTGTCCATGGAGATCATGGAGCTAGCTCGCCAAGAATGTTAGGCCTTTATCTTAACTGTATGCAATCCCAAACACATAGTTCATAAATGGCCCCACCTTCCTTTGGCTTTTCCTTATCTGTTCATTTATTTATCTAATATAAAGAGATAAAACTGCGGCTGTGTGGGGTTCGGGTGTTTTTGTCTGGCATATTGTGTCTGGTTTGTCCACGTCTACAGATTGAAGGAAGCTCTAAACTGGCCGTTAACTGAGCCATCATGTTGGAACAGACTCACTATAAAACCCGATAAGTAACATCAAGTAGGGGCTTTCATTATTAAATAAATGTATAATATGTGGTATCATAGGTCAGAGTTGAATTTAAGCAAAATTTTTCTTCCCGTGGTTTTATCATGCAATCAAAGGATGTCGTAGGTGAATAAATAAACTGCTGTACATGTTAGTTAGACTTCTTGCAATAATGAAGCCAGCTGAAACGATATTTCGGTGTTATATTTTATACTATAATACAAAAAAGAGGGGAAAACCCTTTTAGTCTTTACATGACTTCACACATTAACCATCGGGACTTTTATGTTGCAGGTCTTATAAGATTGATATTCAACCAAAGAAACAACAAAAAACAAACAAACACCAGGGATATTTTGAAAATTAAAATTGTCCTTCAGTAGTGGGATTTCCCCAGACTCAAAATCTGCATTTTGCTGTTTTTGGCCATTAGATGAAGAAAAATGTACTTAATGTGTTGTTCAGACCTACCACCAAATAACAGCAAGTGCCTTGACAACCTCAAAGGGAAGAAAAGCACAAAAAAAATTCAGAATCGAATGATTCCTCTTGCTTTGCTTACATGAGCACAGTCTTTAAAAGTCTTATAATTTCACATGGAAGTGTCTGCAGGCAAACTACCCGGAGAGGTTAGGTTGCAGCTGTCAGTTCATTAAATTACATGGAGTTTAATCTCAGTGTTGTGAAGAACATAAACTGCGTATGTAATTATTCTGACCCACCAGTTTTTACTTTTTGTTAAATATCAGTAACTTGGATCAAGCTGTGGAGGGGGGTGGGAGGGGGCTTTGAGCTCTGATCCTGGGATGGTAACCTGGTTCTTGGGACACGGATCAGGACATCACCTCTCCCAGGAAGGAGGCAGAGCTAGTTCAAGAGATTGAGAACTAAAATTAGATGTAGCTGGGCTCACCTCCACACACAGCTTGAGTTCTGGATCCAGTCTTCTGGTGAATGGTGGAACTATAGAGATGGGGGGGCAGGGAACGTAGGTTCAGAGTTGAGCCGCTGCATTTGCCTAAAATGATGCAAATGTTAAAGCATTTGGGCGCCTCCTTCTCTGGCCGGACGGAGGACATGCTGGATGTCAGCAGGGACATGGCAGTGGTAGCTTGTGACAGTGAGCGCTGGGTTACTCTGCTTGGAGTACTACCGTCATGCCTGCAGAAGAATATGGATGGATGGAAATCCATTTAAAAATCCGTTTTTTGAAAAAACAAACAAAAACATGTGTAAATGATTTTATAAACTGCTTAATGTATTTTTTAATAGGTTTTCTTCGACATTAGAATTGGTGATGAAGACGTTGGAAGGGTTGTCATCGGACTGTTTGGGAAAACCGTTCCCAAAACGGTTGACAACTTTGCTGCCCTGGCAACAGGAGAGGTGAGAAGCCATTTCTTCCTTTTGTCACCATTGACCATTTTATTTGTGAATAAACTGAAGGGGGTGATTTGGTCAAAATGGGCAGAAACTAAAATCAGTATTTCTCTACTCATTCATTTTAGATGTTTAAAGTGGTGCTCATGATAATTTTTTGTAATTTGCAATTGAACAGAAAGGATTTGGTTATAAGGGCAGCAAATTCCACAGAGTCATCAAGCAGTTCATGATCCAGGGTGGAGATTTCACCAGAGGAGACGGCACTGGAGGTGAGACGTCAGGACTTGACAGATTTTTTTCTAGCAGGAATTAATTTGCATTATCACTGTCCTGGGTTTACAATGTACCAGGGCTGGGGTTAGGCGCATAATCACAATCTGCCGACATAGTTAACTCTCTCTGTCCATAGTGTGGTTAGCACATTGGTTTGGCAAGCAAAAGGTTACTCATTCAATTCTAGCCAAATCCAAAGACAGCCAGCATCAACATATCTATTGTGTGCTAAGAGCCTGTTCAGTTCACAAACACTCCTTTACCATTTTTGTGGCTTTACTGGTCGAGTTCATTCTGAGAGTGACTGCATTCAGCGTTCCTGAATAATTAAAGTGAAGATAAGCGTTTGCAGCAATCAGGCCATTCAAATGAGTTGCAAAGGTCAGTGCTGGGAGGGAGTGGAAATGGCTAATATATAAACCTTTTTCTCTTTGAAGGCAAGAGCATCTATGGAGACCGTTTCCCTGACGAGAACTTCAAGCTGAAGCACTACGGGCCCGGCTGGCTCAGCATGGCCAATGCTGGCAAAGACACCAATGGCTCCCAGTTCTTCATCACCACAGTTCAGACTCCATGGCTGGATGGGAAGCACGTGGTGTTCGGAAAAGTCCTGGAGGGCATGGTGAGTGTCACATTGAGTCATGCAAATGGCTGAAGGGGTTCAGGGGGAAGGTTATCACCTGAAATATGAATTCTAGGAGCTGATCTGAGCTACTAAAACAGACAGTTGATCAGTTTATTGTTCAATTTCTTACTCAGGTTTAGCAATTGGGGAAAATAAAATAATTCCAATAAAATGATTTCCCTTCTTATAAATCAGGCATACACATGCACTGTTAACTTAAGCCGAGACAACTAAAACAGCTCCAGTCAGTAAAATCTGCCTAAAACTGTAAAGAGTTTTCGTAGGTGAGCCAGTGCAAACATAAATAACAGTTGCATGCGGCTGCTGCTGCCGCCTTTGTTCCCAGATCTTTGACCCAGTTTAGGCATGTGTGACAGTTAGCATCAGCTTTGGCTCGCCAAGGAGTCACTGCTGATGTACGCAAGTCCAGCCATGCCTGGAATTCTTGGCAGGCTGGCGCGAACTTGTCCTTTTGAGTCGATGCTTTCATACAGGTTTGTCGGTTTGAGTTTCTAAACTTGTTGCTCCTCCCGTAGTTTGGTTTCTTTTCACAAACTTTTAGAAAACCAGAATGGGGCACTACAGACTACATGAGAACATTGATCCAGCTTACTGACCAGATGGGGGAACTGTAGCACAGGAGATTGTGGGTTGTATACTAATCAGGAGGTTGGCAGGTTGATCCCTCATTGGCTTCTCTAGTCTGCATGTCGGACTATCCTTGGGCAAGATACCTGAACTCTGAGTTTCTTCTGAGGCATCATCAGTGTGTGTGAGTGTGGCTTTTTGGATTAAAAGGGTTTAGGCTTTTATTAAAAAAAGCACTAAATATTTGTGTGAATGAGGCTTTCAGTAAGAAAGTGCTTTGAGTGCTCAAAGAGTAGAAAACTGCTAGTAGCTGTCCACGTGTCTGGGTGTGAGATCAAAAGTAAATGCAAGGTAGAAAGTGGTACTACTGTGTGCTCTGCACATCAAAGCAGCACAACATAATTTATAATTTATCACACAGTGGGGGTTTTTTCCCCCTAAACTTCTAGATATGTCAGGTT